TAGTGAGGTGGTTTGTCATGAAGTGGCAGTCAAGTTGCCAGCCCAGGTGCAACTGACTGAAGGCATGGCTAAGGTGGAGGGTCTGTCTTCAGAGCGGATGTTGGCAGGAGGCTTCAATTCTTGCTGATGGCTGACAATCATGTGGCCTTTTCTGTACTACTGCCTCTGAGTGTCCTTATAACATGGGGCTTCCCCTAGAGCTGGTGATCTGAGAAGAGAGGAAGTGGGAGAGGGAGAGAGCAGAGAGGAAGCTGCAATGTCTTTTATTACCTACTCTTAGAAGCCATACAATATCACTTCTGCCACATTCGGTTTACTAGAAAAAAAGTTGTCAAATCTGGTTCACATTCAAAGCATGAGTAATTAAGTATCACCTTTTGTAGGAGAAATGTCAAATAATATATAAGCATATTTAAAAGCTACTACTACATGATCAGCTGAATCAAAGTAAATAGGATTGATGGTAAGAGAGAACTCCGTGATAATATCACTTTTTTTTTCTGGGAGAAAAGAAAGACAATGTGGAATCTGTATTTGTTGACATTTTGAAAAGTGGGAATATACATCTATCCAGTGGCTCTCTCAGCACTGCCCAGGGAGTTTTGAAAAACTGGAGTTGATTCTTTGATTTTCAGGACATTGGGTGCACCAAGGGAAGATAGATGTCTTACAATATTTGGGACAGTTTTGTAAAGCAAGACTGACTGTAATTCCTGCCTGACTTTCCTATGTCCCACTGATGTAGGATTTGTTTTTAAATATTTGAACATAGAACTTCTGTTTTAAAATTACAAAAGATTTTTGCAGGATCTTAATAGATACCAAGGAAATGTGAAAGAAGATTCTGCTTTTTTGTTAGAATTTACTACATTTAGGAAAATCATATCATTTACAGAACCATTTGTACTATTTGATTTTTCATTATAATATGTCTACCTCCTCCTGCAACTGTAGCTGTTATATTTACAGTGATTCTACCTGTAGGTGTAAACACGTGACACCTTCACTGTCTTCTTCACTTGGTCACACTGGAGCTTTTACATACTGATGTGCATACTGTTTAATTATTTTAAAAAATTGGTTCTTATTTCTCACTTATATTACAATAAGGGAATTGTATTGAATTTTTAAAAATTATCTGTGCGTATTATATTATCAGGGACTATTATTTCAATATTGTAAAGGGGGCATTGTAAAATATGCTATGAAAATGATGTGTTGGGCATTATGGTCTTGAGTATGACAGCCACACAGATCAGTGATATTATGGCACCTCACATAAGAAGTTCTTGATATTTGTGGGGAATGTTCTAGAACAGATCTATATACAGGATAGATCTGTGATTACTATGTGTAATGTTAAATTTTCTACTGGCCACATTTAAGGGTGTAAAAAACAGGTGAGACAAACCAGGTGATACATACTTAATTCCAACTACTTAGGAGTCTGAGCCAAGAGGGTTTCAAGTTCAAGACCAGCCTTGGCAGTTTAGACCCTATCTCACAATAAACTATAAAAAGGGCTGGGATTGCCAGGCGGTGATGCACACCTATAATCCCAGCGGCTCAGGAGGCTGAGACAGTAGAATCATGGATTCAAGACTAGCCTCAGCAACAGCAAGGAGCTAAACAAATCAGTGAGACCCTGTCTCTAAATAAAATACAAATAGGGCTGGGGATGTGGCTCAGTGGCTGAGTGTCTCTGAGTTCAATCCCCAATACAAAAAAAAGGGGGGAGGAGGGGAGCTGGGGCTATAATTTAGTAGTAGAGCCCTTGCCTAGCATGTGCAAGGTTTTCGATTTAATCATCCCAGCACCATAAGAAAGGAAAATAAATAAGAAGGAAGGAAGGGTATAAAAGAAATAGGTGAAATTAATTTTATTAATAATTTAATAATGTTTTGATAAATATGACTTCATATTAAATCGATATAAAAATATATAGATATTCTTTTTGTTGTTGTTCACACTATCTTTTAAAATATGGAATATATTTTGCTCCTTAGACTAGGGGCTAGTAGCTACCATCTTGGATAGCACCATTCTAAATGTCCCATGAATAAAGAAATTCCAAGAAAGGGAATAAACTGCGAGAAGCCCCTTACTTCATGAACAGGGGCAAAATAATTGCTGCTGGTTCATCTCTTTTTCCTCATCTTTTTTGCAGCTCTCAGCTCAAAGTCTTGATGTACCAGATCAAACACACACCATCTGTAGCACAGCTTCCATGCCAGAGGCTGTGTGGAGAGGGGGTAGAAGCAGCTCAGTAAATATGACCACCTGTCACAATTCAAAACCGGAAAGTCAAGGAGAATTTTTCCCTTGACATTTCTATCTCCTCTCCTCCTCTGTCCCCAGATCTCTGCTGAAACACCATTCTCTCCCTTACAAGTACAAAGCTCTCCTCCCACAAGGACAAAGTTTCCCAAACTGCCTGTGTCCTCTACTTTCCTATGTTATGCATCCAGCATTTTGCTGACATCCTGGTTGTTTACATCAACAAGCTTATACCCAAACTGTCCTTTAGTAGGTAGCATAGTTACCACTGTAGTCTCGTGGTTACAACTCTGAGCCTTAGAAAATAAAACACCAAAGTTTATGCCATGTTTACATCCCTTAAAAACCATGGAATTTTGATAAATAAACTGAATCACAATTATCTGTAAAATTTAGGTTAAAACAATATCCACCTCTAGGGTGGTTGTGAGACTCATAATGTGAGTCCAAGGAGACAGTGTAAACACGGCATAGCCCTGGCACACCATGCATAATGAATAAGTTCAAGCTTTCAGTATTCCATGATTTCCTCACTTTTTTTCCCACTCCCAGCTACGTGTCCAAATCCTAACCATTTTTCAGTCTTTCTCAAGATCCACTTCTTCTGGAAACCTACAAACTTTATTCTCCTCTTTCCATGCCTTTCTTATGAACTCTGACATAAACTTATGCAGATACTGACTTCTGATAGAGTATACATGATGATCATTTAGAAAATTCTTGAATTGATTGATCATGGGAAAGTGAAAGAAAACTATGGCAGAGGATGCAAATATCAGAACCCTCTTCCCCTTGACCTAGAGGTTTGTCTTCAATTATGGTGGACAGCTTTACTATATCCCTTCACAGGTAGTTTCCATACAGTGCCACGGTTTCCAGAGGCACAGAGCCACAGCTGGCCACTATAGTGACCCATTAGCATGCTCTTTATTGGCCTTAATACCTTCTCTGAATGCCTTCCTTTGTGACTTTTTAAGCTTCTTGGAATTACCTCCCAAATAAACTATCTGTATCAAAGTTCTTCTTTATGATTTTGCTTATGAGGAAATCCAAAAGACAAGAACTGATATTAACTGAGTCTATGTGGGATGCTGAGCTCCATGTTAGGTATTCTACTTCCATTTTCTTCTTTCATATTCTCAACATTCTTATGGTTTGGGTATTTTATATCCATTTTTCAAATAAATTTGAAAGCCAAGACTCCAAATAAGTGATTTGTTCAGGGTTATAGATAGTAAGTCGCAAACTTAGCCATCTAAATGCTGCTTTAGGTGCCTATTTCTGAATTAATAATTCTTCAGAATGAATAGAACATTTTAGGATAAAACTAAAAGAAACACATTATAAAAAGGAGAGCTAAAATTACATCACTGTCTTAGGTTTAGCCAAAATGTGACAAAGTAAAATATAGAAACAGACTATAGTGTCTGGAGACATTGTGCTTTGAACACATAGATGTCATTTAAATGCCATATTTATAGTCCAGTTTCTTTATTCTGGGAAATAATGATGGGAAGATATGACAGCAGAGAGCCACCCGAATGAGTCAGATTTCATAAGAAGGTATTAGAAGATGAAACTGATTTGGCCTCTATGACATTGGAGAAAGAATTAGACAAAGGAGACTTTTCTGAGTATTTAGATACTGAACAGAAAGCCTTGGACTGATGAGAAAAAAAAAATAGGGAGAAAAATTCCTCTTCCATATTAAAATTCAGAATTGATTTTTTTATCTTCCCAAGTCACACAGGCCACATACATAAGCATGATTGAATTATAACGTGAACTGTCAAATCCAATAAATGTGAGTAAAGAGATATCTGGGCAAATGTTAAAGGAAGCAAAGGACAAAGATGTTTTTTCCAATGCAGAAGCAAGCATTATATGACCAATGGATTTCCTAGAATATTAAAAAGGGTATTAATCAAACTGGAGAAGTTAGAAAATTTTAGTTAGAACTAGGGACTATTACCCCATTTAGCTGATGAATATTACTTTCTGTGGTGATAAAATCTAGAGCTAAATCAAGTCAATGATTCTTTTAAAAAAATGGTGATGAGTTTTTATGAGGGTAGAATTCAGTAACATCATAAAAACTAGAATCAAATCCTCAATTTTGAAGTTTGAGAAGAACTTCATATTTATATCAAGCTTTGAAGTCATTAGACAAAAATGCATGGTAAATCTTTATTCTGTGTTGCCTCTGTTGTTGATTCTGTTTGCCTTGAAATGTCACTTAAAATCACAGGAAACCAGTCAATTTGAGCCGGGCATTGTAGTTTCATTCCTTTAAATTTTAAAATGGTTTTCACTTATGTACAACCCAAATGCATTACATCATATTATTTACTTTAGATTATTAGCTCTGCGATGAAGTCATGTAGTTTTTGAACCCTGGAAAAAGTGTCTTCTAGCCAAGTAAGCTTTTGTACTGTGCCCTCTAGTTCACATTTTAATAAATGTCATTTTCTAAGTGCATTACCTCATGTTTTGGCTCCAGCCCAGATAAATCCTGAGAGAATAAGAGAAATGTGCTTTCTGACTGATTCATCCATATTTTATTTTACTTTTCATTAAGAAATTACTCTTTGAAGAAAATCAATAATCTTCTGTGACTGAGGGGCAAGGTTAGCGTGTTGCGGTGGTGGATTCTAATATCTCAAAGCAGACTGCCGTTGCCCAGCTATTGCTGATAGAATTTCTGTTCTTTCTTATTCCTGCAGCCTGGGTACACGGCGACCCCAGGAGAGTGGCCTATCCTACAGACAGCAAGGGCCACTTTTGTGGCCAGAAGGGTACCCCCAATGAGTGAGTATGGTCACTTTTGCTTTGTGTGGTATCACTGTCTAAGCTGGAACCTAGAAATCGCTTTTATACCAATCCTCCTAGACTGCTTAGGGAGACTGAAATTCATGTAGGAGGCTTTCCCCACCCCTTTTCCTACAGACAGCTATAAGCAGTTGGGAAGTTCAATACTAAATGACTTAAGATGCCATGTCATTGTCATGTAGCATTTTAGTAGAATGCATGAAGGCTCTGCTTTGTGAAAATACAATTCTTAAAGATGGATAAGACCAGTAATTTTTTTCAGTAGCCATATTTTAAATGCTTTATGAGATGGGCTATTGGAAGACCTAGTCCTGAGTAACCTAAAAGTTAGAAGTTACCATAGTTTAGTTTTGTCAGACACCCACAGATGAATCATTCTGCCTTTCAAAGGTAAGGGCACAGGAAGGTCTTGGATGCTTGGTGGTCTTTTCATGAGAACTTGGCTTCTGTGGACATTGCCCCAGAGTAGCTGAGCAAAACATTGCCTTTAGATTGTGAATCAGAACAGATATTTTCACTTCTGAAAACAAGTTTTATATTTCTTCACCTAAAAAAAAAACAAATAAAACCCCATAAATTTCACATTTTTAGAAAACATTCCCTCATTTATCATGCGTCCATTTCTTTGCTTTCACTGCCTGAGGTTGTTGCTAAATCTCCTGGGTCTTCATAACCAATTCAGTTACTATAAAAGCTGATTTGAGGTGGAGGAGAAGGAGAAGGAGAAGGAGAAGGAGAGGGAGAGGGAGAGGGAGAGGGAGAGGGAGGGGGAGGGGGAGGGACAAATAGGTTCCCCAACAGTTCCACCACCAAAATGCATGTTTCAGAAGACTTGAGTTTGTTCTCTTGCTGCCCACCCCTAACCATGAGCTTATTATTTCAGGAGATACACATATTTTTAAGAAATTAGCATAATTTATGAGTCAAATTCTTATTGAGCAATAAGAAAACTCAGAAATTTGGAGGAATCAGAGACAAATCTTTAATTATGTCAGGTTGAGTTTACAGGGACAAGTTTACTCCCAGGAAAGAATTTCTCCCTATTCGGGACAACTGGAGTAAATTCTGATTCAGGGCGGCAATTCTTATTTTAACCTCAGTCACTTAGAAAATCTTAGACTTTGCCAACAAAACCTTCATACTATGAAGGACAAAGAAAGCACCAGGTGGTAAAAAGAAAAAAAAATCAAACAAATCTCTAAATCTTTAGTTCTTTAAAACACTATTTTTGAAAGGGTTTTTGTAACAATAAGTTTTCTAGACCTGAGCAATGACCCACTTAGTTTGAATGAAAATGTGACACCACAAATTTCAGGACATACAAATTATTCAAAGACAATCCTTGCTTAATACACAGACATTCTCATTGAAGTATTATTTATAATAATACACTGAAAACTGAACATATCTTCAACCACATGTGGATACTATATGATAGCCCGTCTATTTAATAAAATGTAATCAAGCCAGTGGAGATTATATTTCTATTTTCAATAGTCAATTCTATTGATGTTTCCTTATAGTTCCTGAAGTTTATCATGATTGTATTAATTGCTTTCCTCCTCCCTCAAAATAACATTCTCCTATATTTCACTAGTATTTTTATAATTTTCTTTTATATATTTAAATTTCCTTCAAAACAAACACTGAAGGACTAAAGATTCTGTATATACAATGTAATTCAGAAAAGCAACAACAGAAAATGTAGGGTATATTTATAGAATTATGCAGTAAAACAACCTTTCTTAAACATAATGCTAAAATCCCCCATAAATGAGCAATTTTAAGGAACATTACCACACAAAGTAGGTTACCTTAAGTCACTGCCAAACAAAGTTACAATCTAGAGAAGAGGCAATCCAAGAAAAATAAATATTTCAAGCAAATATTCCTGACTAAAAATCAATCAATAACTACGATATGAGCTGCTACTAGAAGATCAAAAAGGAAAAGATGATTGATCATCTAATATAAAAAGAGGCAAAAACCATAAATGGGAAATAACGTAACGAACAATAACAGTAGAAACTGCTGTTAAAGTACAGTTTAAAAAAGAAAACAAACTAATGGATATAATATTTTTTGAGTATTAGAATGCCAGATATTTAAAAGATTAAAATTTCTAGGGTTGGCTAGAGTGAGGAGAAATAAGCACCTCATTTGCTACAGGTGATAGCATGATATGATGTCAATTTTTTCAAATATTATCAAACATATATGTGTTGTTGATTCTCCTAGAAACTTATCTCATGAAAATTTGAATACATTTCCTACTATAATAGGTGCTGTGTTACTCAGCTTTCCATTGCTCTCACAATGGAAAGGTTTATTTGGGCTGATATTTTCAGAAGTTTCACTTGATGGTCACTTGGTCCAGTTGCTGTGGACCTGAGGTGGCACAGTACATCATGGTGGGACACTTGGCAGAGGTGGCATCTTCACCTCAAGGCAACAGGGAAGCAGAAAGAGAGAGAGACAAGAAGAGGGCCAGGGTTCCAATATGCCCTTCAAGGGTGCTCCCTCAATGACCTACCTTCCTCCAACTAGAACCCACCTCTTAAAGGTTCCACTAGCTCCCATTAGGCCCACAGACTAGGGACCTAAGCTTTAACACATGACTTGGGGAAGCACTCGAAACCAAAGAAAACGGAAAGAGCTTAAATGTTCATCAATAGGAGATGGAGTAAACAAATTATGATATAGTCATATAATAACATATCATTTAATCTTTAAGAAAATGTCACATAGAAATATATTTTGGCATAGAAATGTGCCTATGATATATTGTTAATCCAAAAAATTAAGTTATTTAAAATGGAGCATGAGCAGGGCATAGTGATACATACCTGTAATCCCAGCGTTGGGAGGCTGAGGCAGGAGGATTGTAAATAAAAGGCCAGCCTCAGCAACTTAACGAGGTACTTAGCAACTCAGTGAGACCCTACCTCAAAATAAAAAACTTTTAAAAATTAAATTAAGAAAAATAGAGTACAAGTATAATTTTGTTTTGTGGGCATGTTTGTGTACTGGTACATCTTATAGTCACCGATATAAAAACACCTATACGTGCAAGGAAAAAAGTTTGAAAGGATACACATATGCTTTACAGTAATTATTTCTAAGCAAAAGGTGTTATTTTTTTATTTTTATTCACATGTTCATTGAGCCTCTGTTTTGTCCCAGACGGTCTTCTAAAGGAGGTTAGATTGCACACAGCGGACAAACCATCTGTTCTCATGAAACTTACATTTCAGTGAAAGAATAATTGGAGATAGAGATGTAAATAAACAAGATAATTTCAAATAGTGATAAGGAAACAAAACAGGAAGCCTGATGGAGAGTGACTGGTGTTCCGTGAAAGGGAGGTCTCTCATGGCTGCCCGGCTGGGGGAGGGCTTTGATGAGGGTTGTACTTTTCAACTGAGATAGGAAGACTAGAAAGGGCAGAGCTTTCAAGCCAGAGGCAAGAGGTGCAAAAGTCCTGAGGCATGTGATTCTCTAGGAGTAGAAAGAAGTCCAAGAAGCTGGAATATAGCAAACAAAGAGGCAGGACTTAAGCAGACATGTGAGAAACAGGAGGGACCAGATTTGTGGTTCCTACACACTCTGCCAAAGTATTTAGATTATTTATAAATGTGGGGAAGGACATGGAAAAATGTTCAGCGCAAGAGTAATGGTATCCATTTTACATTGTTAAAAGACTATTCTTCTTGATTTTTTTTCCCCATGGTGAACTGTTTCAATTGTTCACAATAAGCATGCATGCAGAAAAATACAAGCTTTCCATTTTTTCTTTTTTGAAAAAAATTAATGAAATGGGATGTATTAATGAAATATAATTATAGGTATAATTCTATAATTATGAAATAAAGGTATGAGTAAGTTTTATTTCCTTATTTATGTGCTTATATGCATTGTAATTTTCTACCAAAAATATATATGTATATTACTTTTATAACCCCTCTCAAATTTTCTAAACATCAAGACTTTTTTAAAAAGTATATAAGCTGAGACAATGAATAACTTAGCTATTAAAGTCCTTTCTGTAAAAAATAAAGTACAAAAAGAAAATGTTGTCAGAATACATACCCTGCAGTCAAATCCTGACTTTGCCTTTGAGCATTGACATTTGGGCCTGGGACACATGCTACCAGGCCTTAATTTCCCTATAATGATGCAAAAGTAAACGAGGACAGTAATTTAGAAGAAACTGGCACCATCTTACCTGTTTGCAAAACACTTCTATATTCCATACCACATCATTTGTTAATGTCCTCCGATTTCGATATTCTAGGCTTTCGATATCCAGTAAATAAGATCCTCTTATATTGTTAATCTTCGAGAACCTCTAGGTTTTCAGAGATAGTCAGTGAAGCCACAGATTCCAACGCAGTGTGTTCAGCACAACACATAATTTTAAAATGAAGCATGATGCTATTGTCCCCTGTGAAGCAGCCACACACACACACACACACACACACACACACACACACACACCAGTTGGTCTTGGGCACAAGATCCTGACTTACTACCATGGGTACTTTTTGCTCCCTGAATTTATGTGATTATTAACTTGCTGACTTTGCCAAACTCTCTCTACTGGGCCCATGGTTCTTTGAGGTGAGGGACATTCTCTGTCTTTCTCATTGCTGTGTCTTCAGCACCAAAGAGACTCCCTGGCATTGTAGTAGGTACTCTCAAAATTCATTACTAAACGAATGAAAACAAAGGGGCCACACAGATTAGTGATTTGCCCCTACCAGGGAGGTCCTAACAACACTGCTTAGCGACTATCATTATTACTTTCATTTGGAAAATTTGGAAATGGAAATTCAGAAAAGTTAAGGTCCCACAGACTACTAAATAGCATGTTCCAACTCCAGATTCTGTGCTCCTTAGACCACACATTGATAAAGATTGCAGTGAATTTGGTTTTCCATTGGTTTAACATGTTCAACCTAGGCCTAAAAATCTTGAAC